CTGACACGTGTGCGGGGACTAAAAAGCTAGTTAGTCTTTTCTGTTTGATTAGGACATACTAGTTAGACCCCAAAATCACGATCTTGACCTTACTAAAAAAAAAAAAAAAATCGATTTTTTTTTTTTTTTCTCGGATTTTATTTTCTCGCTATTCTGCTGTGGAAAATCGCTATATCGCAACATCTGAAATTCCTATTTTCGTTTTTCTTTCTGAAAATTCGAAATTTCGTTGTTGAAAATCCGGAATATATTTCTTTTTGAAAGTTTTGATTTCCTGTTGCATTTCCCGTTACTTAGAACTTCGGAATATCTTCTTTTCTGAAATTCGTTTTTTTTTTAAATGGTACGGGAAATACCTCCTGCATTAGTATTTTTCAAACTGCGAATCGGAATAAATCCGAATACGTATCATTTCTGTTCGGAATTTTTTTTCGCAGTTGTAGGATACTGTCGTTCAGTCTATAGACCATTGGCAGTTTAAAATCGATTTTTTTTTCTCTTTCAGAGATCATTTCGTACTTCAAGGGAGATAGGGAGACCTACCGAACTTGCAAAAATCGGGATTTTTCTTTTTTTCCTCGATTTTTTTTTCTTTTTTTGCAAAGTTCGAACTTTTCTGTTTTTATTAGTGGCTCCTTATCTAAGTGTGAGTTGGGCGATTATCCCACCCACCCCTCCCCACCTATGTTGTTGCAATCTCTCGCCTTGCCGTTTCTGTTTGTATCCGGGTACCCCCTGCGGCGACATTGGTGAGTTGCCACGTCAGCAGGCCACGTCAGCAGGCTACGTTAGCAGGCCACATCAGCAGGACACGTCAGCAGCAAGGGATACCACAGCAGCAAGCCCCGACCTGGTTTATGCTGTTGCGTTCACATACAGCAGTCATGGACCAGAGGCCCGGAGAAACAAACGAGGCCTATCAGGCCCGCATGTTGGCCTGGAGTACCGAAACAAAGAAACGGGCAGATGACGCTGCCGCAGCAGCGAAGAAGAGGGCAGAGGATGCCGAGCAGGCACGTCTGCTGGCGGGTGAACAACAGCGCCAGCATGACGAGGCAGCAGCAAGGATTGCCGATGAAGAAAGAACACAACGTCGTGAGAAGATATTCACCGGAGAGCGGGCGTTACTTACCATGGCAGCAGAATGGCGAACCGAGGCCGAGAATAGCCAGTTGGAGGATAGCGCAAACAAGATAGCGCTCCTCCTCTCGCATCTCACGGATCTCCTGGCAACCTGCATTACACAGCAGGCGGAGATCCTTGGGCTCGACAACTCGGTAGCTCATCTCCAAGACCGCCTTCAGCGGTTGGAGCAGCGACCAATCGTCGCCGCCGACACAGGCTCTTCCAATACTGCCGACCGCCTCAATGCATTGGAGATGCATGTTGGCTCACTCTAGGATGGCGCACAGTTACAACTCACCGCGACGCAACAGTTGCAGCAGCGGGTCTGTACCACCGCCACTACCTCGAGTACGGAGCCGCGCGAGTCAACTTCAAAGTTTGACGGGCAGGAGATCTTCTGCGACGCCATGAAGACAGATCCGATTCCATGGTTTCGCAAGTTCGAGCTCACACTGCAGCTCCACAACGTCAAGGAACACAAGCACCACGCATACTTGTACTCTCGCTCAGGGGGCTCGTGTCAGGCTTGGTTGGACAACCTGTTGTCCAAGTACGGAGTGGTAGCTAACGACTTGCACACCAAGATCACCTGGGATGATCTGAAGGCGGCGTGGCACAAGCGGTTCCAGGTGGAGCCGCCAGAGATCAAAGCCATGGACAAGCTCATGGTCTTCGAGCAAGGCACGCTGCCGAGTACGGACTGGATCGCCGAGTATCAACGCTTGACATCAGTCCCAGACATCCAGATGGGCTTCAAGGCCATCCGCCACTACTTCATCTCAAGGTCATGTCCGACATTGAGCAATGCCCTGACGCATGTCGAGGACACCTTGACAACGACGACGAAATTATTTGACAAGGCTGCGCAGATCATCGTCACGAACAAGGAGGCCAAAAACCTCCGTTCATCTGCGTCAGGCCCGAGCAGGGACCAGCATCGGCCAAGAGTGGCCGTGGTCGCAGCGGCAGCGCCGTTAGACCAAACCAGCGAGGCTGTGTCTGCCAGTGAAGGGGACAGATTCGCAGCCGCCCGGGAAGGTGGCCGCCCTGGCAAAGGCCGAGGACGCGGCAAGATGAAGACACACACCGTTTCTAGCCCCGGGCCCGGTGCAGCAGCTCAGACAGGCCCATGGACCCCGTATGGCATCTCCGAGTCCGCATACAAGGCGCGCGAGAGATTCCACTATTGCCTTTGGTGCAACAGCGATCTTCATCAGATGCAGGTTTGCCCATTGAAAGGCAAGGGCAGACAGGGAGACTGAGCACCACCGAGAGTGACGCGACGACACTCTCGACGCCTTCGGAATTGGTTTCTTCGCGAGTAACTAGCCTTCATTTCGAGGTGCACGCGAAAGTCGATAGTCCTCCGCTTTTACTTTCTTTTGAGGACTATGCTGCCCGGCTCGTTCCAACGCTGGGTACTCAAGCTCAAGGACAAGGAGTGTGTGCGGTTTCTTCTCCGTCCGACAACAACAACATATCGTCTTCAAGTGGTTCGTCACGGGATTCGGCGCGCGAGTTCAATATAGAGGCATTGGACCCGCTCACGTCTGAGGACTTTGCATGGCTTCCTCTCCCGACCACAGGTCGTTTGCCGGGACCGCAATGCGCAGCACTTAGCGCTCATCTCCACACTTACCTTTCCTTCTATGCACCACCAACTTCGCCGACGGATGACGAAGTCACGGTGGGGGACATCCTGGCATACACTACCAAGGTGGCCCGCGAGTTTCGCACGCAGCGGTACGATAACAACAATGCACCGCTCATGTATGTCCGTATCCAGGTTGGGCAAGCGTCCTGCAGCGCTTTGCTGGATAGCGGCGCGACTCGCAACTTCATGAGCCAATCCTTTATGCAAAGGGCTGGCCTTGACACACAAGTTCGAAGGACGGCAAACCCGACGGCGATCAAGTTGGCGGATGGAAAGACGCAGCAACTTCTCGACCGTTACATCGAGGTCGTACCGGTCTACTTCGCACCTCATGCATGCGAACCGGTGACATTCGATATTCTCGACACGGACTTCAACATCATTCTGGGAATGCCTTGGCTTGCAAGTGCGGATCACACGGTCAACTTCCATCGACGAACTCTTAGCGTTCGCGACGCGTTCGGCGCGGAAGTGGCGTGTACTATTCCTCTACCGCACTCTTCGATCCGTTGCCAAGTGGTGACGGCCAAATCATTCCGGGCAACTTGCGCTTACGAGCAGCCCGAGGAAATCGGCCTATGTTTCTTACGGACCGTCGCGGTAGCCGACTCTTCACCCACGGACTTGTCTTCCGACCCCCGTGTGGTACGGTTGCTGGAGAGTTCGCCGACATCTTCGAGTCACCTACCGGTGTGGTGCCGGGTCGGCCGATCTCTCACGAGATCATTCTTGAGGTCGGTGTCGTGCCGCCGAAAGGTTGCATCTATCGGATGAGCGAGGAGGAGCTTGAGGTCCTCCGCGCACAACTCGATGAATTGTTGGCCAAGGGCTGGATCCGCCCGAGTAGCTCCCCATACGGAGCACCAGTTCTCTTCGTCAGGAAGAAGAACAAGGATCTATGATTATGTATTGACTACCGCAAGCTCAACGCGCAAACCGTCAAGAATGCGGGGCCTCTCCCTCGCATCGACGATCTTCTCGAGCTGCTGGGCGGCGCGAAGTATTTTTCCAAGTTGGATTTGAAATCGGGATATCATCAAATCTCGATCCAGCCGAACGATCGCTACAAGACCGCGTTCAAGACGCGATACGGGCATTTTGAGTGGGTCGTCATGCCTTTTGGCCTCACCAATGCCCCGACGACATTCCAGGTGGCGATGACCAATGAGTTCCGTGCAATGTTGGACCGGTTCRTGCTGGTCTACTTAGACGATATTCTCGTCTATAGCCGGACATTGGAGGATCATCTTGGACATCTTTGACGAGTGTTGGAGACGCTCCGCCGTGCCAAGTACAAGGCCAACCGCGACAAGTGCGAATTTGTCCGGCAAGAGCTGGAATACTTGGGCCATTTTGTCACACCRGAGGGCATCAGTCCGCTATCGGACAAGATTCAGGCCGTCCAAGAGTGGCCRGAGCCTCGGAACGTCACGGATGTCCGCTCGTTCCTCGGTCTTACCGGCTACTATCAGCGCTTCATCAAAGGCTACTCCAAGATCGCAGCCCACTTGAAAAAGCTTCAATGCGAGGATCGGCCGTTTAACTTTGGAGAGGAGGTGCGAGGATCATTCTTCGCTCTCAAAGCCGCGCTATTGTCTGCGGAGGTCTTGCGAATCTACGACCCACTCACGCCTACGCGTGTCACTACGGATGCGTCAGGCTATGGCATTGGTGCAGTCCTCGAGCAACATGATGGTGTGGACTGGCACCCGGTCGAGTACTTCAGCAAGAAAGTGCCCCTCGTGCATTCCATTGACGATGCACGCAAGAAGGAGCTCCTCGCCTTCGTCCACGCGCTCAAGCGGTGGCGGCACTTCCTCCTTGGTCGAAGCCAATTTCACTGGGTAACGAACAACAATCCGTCGGTCTTCTACAAGACCCAAGACACCGTCAACAGCACCATCGCTCGATGGATGGCTTTCATCGACCTGTTCGACTTCTTTCCCGATCACATTCCCGGGAAGTCGAACCGTTTTGCGGATGCTCTTTCACGGCGTCTGGATCACTGTACCGCGGTCTAATCAACCTTCGAGATCGATGACGACCTGCGGAACAGCTTCATCTGTGGCTACCAAGCCGACCCCGATTTTCGCGACAAGTACGCGAATCGCTCCTCTCCTAATCCGGCTCCTTCTCACTACCGGATCCAAGAGGGGTACTTGCTTGTCCACACGCGGGGGAAGGACCTTCTTTGCGTACCGAGTGATCCTCACTTGCGTACACGGCTTCTTGGCGAGTTCCACGACGCTCCCGCCACTGGATTTTGGAGTCAATCGCACGATTGGCCGACTTCGCCAGCGATTTTGGTGGCCCAGCCTTCTCGGCGACGTCACGCGCTATTGCGAGTCATGCGAGGTTTGCCAACGCTGCAAATCCTGCAACCATCGTCCGTACGGCGAGTTATGACCATTGCCAGTCCCGTTGCGGCGAAGGGAAGCGGTTGCCATGGACATTACCGGCCCGTTCCCCAAGCACAAGACCGGAGTGGATGGGATTCTTACGGTGGTCGACCGACTCACCAAGTTCGCCATGTTTCTGCCTTGTCGCTATCATGCCAAGGCACCGGAGTTGGCCGAGGTTCTGTACGCCGGTTGGATTCGCACCAAGGGTTACCCCAAGGAGATCGTCTGCGACCGCGACACTCGGTTCATGTCCGATTTTTGGTTGGCGCTCATCAAGCGATGGGGCTCATCTCTCAAGCCCAATTCAGACCGATGGCCGGACGGCGAGGGTGCATCAGACCGCACAGGTTCTCCTTCGCACTCTCATCCGCCCCGACCAGAAAGACTGGGTTGAGCGGCTGCCGGACGTTGAGTTGGCCTACAACTCGTCCATCCACCCGGTTATTGGGATATCGCCCTTCGAGTTCGAGCACGGCTCGCCGGTCACGTCACCGTTGGACACGATTACTCCACGCACGGCCAAGAGCGACGACCATCTTCTTTTCTTGCGTCCGATGCAAGAGCTTCTTGTCAAGGCACGCGACCAGATGGCTAAGACGCAGCAGCGCATAAGCCAACAGGCAAATCGCCAGCGTCTTCCTTGTCCATTCCGCGCCGGGGACCTCGTCTGGGTTTCAGCCGCGGAATTCAACCTTGAACAAGACGTCTCCCGCAAGCTCCTCCTGAAATGGATGGGGCCTTGGCCGATCATAGAGCCCGTTGGGGACGCACCCGAAGGACCCTCCTTCACGATTCAGGTGCCTAGCCACTTGCCTGTCTACCCAGTCTTTCATTGCTCCAAACTGGCTCTCTACACGCCAGCGGATCATGACGACTTTCCCGGGAGACGTACGCAAGACCCACGTTCTATGGATGGTTTTCAGGAGGTCGGCAACATCATCTCCCAGCGACGCTTTGGCAACAAGCCAACTGAGTATTTAGTGCATTTTGCATACTTCACACACCGAGCTGACCGTTGGTTAACCCGTGCGGAACTTCAAGCAACAGCTCCAGATGTTCTCGCACGCTACGAACGCAAGATGCAAGGCAAGCCGGTTTCTTCGGCTCCCCGCCGCGCCCGGGTCCAGGTTCCACCTTCAGATCGACGGCTTCGCCCTCGCCCCGGCTTGACTTCATAAGGAGAGGGGGTTGTTACATGCAGCGCGTGCACACACGGGCCATTTTGCAGGCCCGATGGTTTCAGGCCAAAAGCCTGAACTTCAGGCCGAAAGCCTGAAATCCAGGGCTTACAGGCCCCCTGTCGGCTCAGCACGAAAGCCTGAAGTTCAGGGCCTATCCCTGGTTGTTTCAGACTAAAAATGGCAACAGCCTTTTTAGCCTGAAACGAAGGGCCATTTTCGGTTGTTCATCAGAACGACCGGCCCTGAAACTCAGGCACCGAACCACGGTTTCGGAAACAGACTATTATTATTCTGTTTCCCACGCCAGCCTCAAGCAGGCTGCTGCACACCAGCCCCTGGCACACTTCGGCATTGGCAAGAGCTGCCTCCTCGGCCTGACTGGCCTCCAGTAGTCAGGAGGCAGGCCGAGGTAGTACTTGGGACTTCCCAGGCACTTCCGAGGTAGGCAGTCGGTCAGTTGTAGTCTTCAGGATTCGGGAGCAGCACTCTGGAGGGAGCGCTGCGTAGTAGTAGTTGTAGCGTTAGCTAGTAGTCTTCAGCGCTGGGCGCAGTAGGTAGCTGTAGTCTCCAGCGCTGGGCGCCATAGCTAGGTACTACTAGAGAGAGAGAGAGAGAGCTTGGGCGGAGGCCAGAGGTACCTACCTGCAGCGCCGTTGCTCCAGCTTCGTCTTTGAGGTACCTGCAGCACAGCGCCAACACCACAGGTTAGTATCTGGTTCGTAACACACA